CCCGCTGCTCCCCTCAGCAGTGTGCTTCGGTCCTTCTGCCTGCTCTGCTCCCCGCTCTGGCTCTGGTGAATTCTCTCACCCTCCCGCGCTTCTGACTGTACCCGTGCTTGTGTAAATAAATAAATAAACAAATAAATAAAGGCAGTGCTGAGGATTTTGTTTAGAAGTTCTCAGACCAGGGAATGAGTTTTGATTTGCATTTGAATCTGGCTTTGGAAAAGGGGTTCGGAGGCAGAGTGGCCAGGGAGCAGACCACGGTGGTATAGTAATCAGAAAGAAATGCCCGGGTCTTTGACCAGGGAGGTTGGTGTGGGGGTTCTGAGAAAGCTGGACTTAGAGAGGAGTCTGGAATGGCTCCCAGGTTTCAGATTTGAATGCGGACTGGGTGGGGTTGCCACGTCCTGCTGTGGAGCCACAGGAGGAAGAGGGGCTGTCTGAGCGTGCAGAGTTTGAGTTCTTTTGGGCACATCCAAGTGTTCAATGGATAGTGGGATTTAAGGACACAAAACCAGGAATATGTCTGGTCTATCGATAAAAGTCTGGGATTGTTGACCTAAGGATGATGCATGCAGAGGTCAAGTGAGAGAACTAGGCCAGCCGAGATGAACAAGATCAGTTGCAGCTCAACTAGGGCTGATTGTTGTCATGGGGAACCAGGCCGGGTGTTGGTATAGCTCCAATTAAGAAATAAAGGGAGCTGGCTCAGCACGTTTCTTTCACTGATCAAATGGAAGCAATAGTGGTGTATACACCTCATGCCGTCGCTTGGGGATTAAATGGTTAAACTTTATAACGCACATAGGACAGTATGTTCCTTATATAGATGCTTGTTATATAATCAATAAGTGATTAAGTAGATGAGTAAATGCTGTTGCGAAGGGAAACTACTAGAGTGTAGGCTGGAGTCCCCAGAGCACCCCCCTCAAAGTACTGCAGAGTAGATAGAGGAGGGGCCTGCCTGGGTGGGGGGTGTCCCTGGAGATAAGGGGTGTTTCTAGAAGAGGTTAGTCAGCAGTGTCACCTGGGGAGAGAGGTCAGGTGATAGAAAGACCCAAGTGCTCTGGCTGTAAAACCTCATTTAATCTGCATAGAACCCCTGCAAGGTGGGCATTGTTTTGTTGATGGGAAGCCCAAGGATGCCTGAGGGCAGCACCTCACTCTGCTGCTCACAGTGGGCCAACCTGGATGGATCAGATTCCAGAGCCCGGGATCCTTCTTCTACGACTCGGGGAGGAGTCAGCTAAGGATTTAACAAGATTTGTGAAGTGCAGTAGGGCCAGCTTTCCTTGCCTGTAAGTAGCAGATAGAGTTTTCTCTCTGCACTTCTGAATATCCTATACGTTCTCGTTCCTTTTTGAGATAGACAGTCTGGTTTTATGCCATTGTCAGGGATGTCTTCTAGATCATCACAAGTGTAGAACTTTGCTTTTCCCCAATTTGTTTTTTTAGGTAAACAGGCCAGTAACTTCAGCCATCTCCAAAGGATCACTTGCGTCAAGGTTTCTGAATTTGGCTATCAGCCATGTCGATTGGTTCTTTTCTTGTACTCAGAGCAGTGAGTTGTTTAAGGAGAAAAGAATGGAAAGGTGCCAGGAAAAACTAGGACTATGTGATGTCGTTTGATAAGAATTGGGGACACAGTGACCCATCCCCAGAGTCCTAGGTGCCTACACATGTCACCTAGTCCCCAGTGAGCCAGGCTTTGTGCCTGTTTCCGTAACTGACACCTGGGAAAGTGTCACTGGAGTGGAGAAATAAACAATGAAAATCTGAAGCTCACCTGTTGAGAGAATAAATAGCAGGAAGTGAATATTTGGAAGAATGAAATTTGGATCCTCTGGGTGATAGTGTTGTTATAGAGCAACCCCGATATTAAACGGGTTCCTGGCTGTGGTCCTCACCCGCGCGCTTTAAAGGGACTTATGATACTCTACTACAGACAGCACATAAAAGGTTTATTTACAAGAGAAAAAGAAATAAGAAAATGTACAACTCAGGGAGAAATAGGGAAATAAAGTCTTTAATGCGTCCTACCCGATCCGACGACCTGGAAACCCCAAAGTCACTCTCAGAGCTAGACGGACGCCGCAAGCTGGCCGAGGGCCCCAAAATGGAGAGCGCCCCAAAGCCCACGTGTCTGCCTTTGTATCCACCTGGCTGCTTAACCCCACCCTCAGTCCCAGCCACCTTCCCTTTGGTGGTGATGGGATTTGGAGTTCCCAGTTCTTTGGCTTTGACCTGGGGTGGGGGTGGAGTCCACAAGGCCTGTATGGAATTTGCTTTGGGACTGCCTTTCCCCTAACAGTGTCAGCCTACAAAACAGCTCTCCAAAACACCATCCAGTTTTTGCTGTTTCGCTCATCAGCAATATATTATCTCTGACTGAACTAAAGTGAAAACCTCTGCCAATAAACCTTTGCTGGGGCACACATTACTCATGCCTTAATGTCAGGTTAATATTTAGCAGTACTGAGAATTTCAGAGGGAATAGGACCCCAAAGACTAACTTATTTTTTTTTTTTTCTGGGAAACTGGTGCTCAAAAGCTTAATGTCCACAGAGCAGTGGTTTAATGTTTTCCCACATTTTTGTCACAGGCCCATTGGATGGGTTATAGCTGTCTGTGGCCCGCCCCTACTCCGATCCTCTTCCAGTGTACCTTTTTACAAAGAAGTGCCAGCAATTGTGTGAGATCTGCAGTTTATAAATTTGGGAACCTTCTTCAAATGAGGAACAGAATAATGACTATTTAGAATGAGAAAAAGACTAGGTGGGACTTGTGTAAGAGAGGGGAACTGAAACGTAATCTTGGGTAGCTTCATGTTAACTCAGGCCTGGAGCCACAGAGATCCTGTTTTACAAATGAGGTGTCTCTAGCTCTGTTGATCTTCCCTAGCTTGTTCTCTAACCAACTGCCTTCACTTCCTGCCATCCTGCTGGCTGCAGACCTCCCAGACAAATCCCACTTCACCCTCTTGTATTATCCCCATTCCTCTTCTTTAAGGCTCTATCACAGCTGTGGTTGAAATATTTTTGCATTATTTGATTGTCTATGCTGAAAAATCTAGGACACCTAGGGTCATGTCTGTTATTTTCTGCTCAGGATAGTTCCAGGGCTTAGCTAAGGGCCTGCTCAGTAGTTAGAATTCAGATATTGATTGAATAAATGCATTTGATAAAAGTAAATAAGAATGCTTTAAGAAAAAATGTGTGGGTTTTGTGTCACAAAGAAAAATTCCACTGGGAAAAGTCAGTTTAAGGTTATTTGGGTCAGCTGTGTTGATGCTAAGGTTGTTAACAGCAGCATCTGCTTTTGGATTTGAAAATATTGTTCAAGCTTCACCATTCAAATTCTCACTTAAAAGGGACTCAGTGGGGCCTCCCTGGTGGTGCAAGGGGTTAAGCACCACACTATGAAGCAATCCACAACCTCTGCAGCATGCGTTTGATCCCTGGCTGGGCAGGAGAAACCCACATGGTGAAGCAGACCTCTCCTGTCTCGCCCGCTGCTCCCCTCAGCAGTGTATTTCGTCAGTTTGCCTGTTCTGTTCCCCACTCTGTCTCTGGTGAATCCTCTTACCCCCCGCATCTCTGGCCTGTACCCTGGCTCTTGTATGCATAAATAAATAAATCTTTAAAAATAAATAAATAAAAGGGAATCAGCAACAGCAATGTTCACCTGGCATTTAGCCTATGGAAACCTTTAAGACTCTGGAGTTGTCTCTAGAGATCCCCTTGTCACATATAGATACAAAAGACAGTTCAAACCAAAAATGTGATTTTGCAGGGTAGTTATCATTTGGGATCTAAGATTTTGTCTCCCTCAGTAGGTGAAATTTGGCTCCTTAACTCTAGTAGTTTGATTTACAGGTGCTTCTGCCCCCATGTGATAAATACACTTCTGCATAACCTTTGATTCAACAAGGGGTGAGCTGAGAGAAAGTGGGGAGAGGAGCCACTGTCCCTTTGTAGAAGAGTAGCTTGTGCTTGGTAGAGGAGGAAGCCCAGCTAGAGGAACTGGCTGGGGTTTCAGTGGAGAACTGAGACCAAGACCCTTTGTTTTTCAGGGTCTTTGGTCTCCCCAAATGCCCCCAAATAGGACAAGTCAGACTCTGCCTCCATGCCTGGGTCAGGCTGTCCCACAAACAGTCCAATAAGTTCTTTCCAGTCTCACTCCCTGATGAAATCCCACCAGGGATTCAACTTCAAGGCCAAGTTCAGTTCAAGCTCTGGCTTTTCCTTCTTTGGCTATGCCCACCCATGTTAAATTTGGAGCACCAGCAGCCTTGCAGACAGAGGAATCCTGTCTCATGATGTTGAACTGTGCCCTGCCTTGCATAATTAAGTAATCTCATGTCTCATGTGTCCCCAGCTATTCTGTAGATGTTCAAAGCCAGGGAACATGCTGTACTTCTTCAGTGTCTCAACATTATCACCCCATGTTTGACTCATTTGGGCTCAATTCTTCATTCTTTCATTCTGTGAGTGGCTCACTAAGTACCAGATGCCGTGTCAGAGGCAAGGCAAACAGAAGTGAAGGCTGAGGTCTTTCTCACAAGAATCTCCCAGTCTGGTGGAAGAGTCTACATGACTGAGGGCTTCATTGATGATTTTCTCCCTGTTTGGAGTGGCTTTTAAGGATGTGGGCATGGGGGAGATGACAGATGTTTCCAGCATCTCCTGAGTCCTACCATTCCTTCTGGCTTCATTCGTTCAATTCGAGCAGATTCTTTAAACTTTGGAAACATGGCTCATAACATTGACCACAAGTATAGCATTCTGAATTCAAACACAAAGTATGGGAATCCATCAATGCAGTTCCTGAGAGTTCATTTCTGTATGACATGGCTATGCTGAATAGATGCTCTGAGAGTCATGCTGATTTTTGTATTTGGTGATGGCTATTTTCTGATGGAAAGTCATTAACGGGCAAAACTTTTGTTAAACATTATGATAATGTAACAAATGTAACCAAGCATTTTGCTTTTTTTGTGTGTTTAGGAACTTATACAGTTCTGGCTTGCAAAGGGCGTGGATGGTTTTAGTTTCGATGCTGTTAAATTTCTTCTAGAAGCACAACATCTGAGAGACGAGATCCAAGTGAATAAGAACCAACCCCCGGTAAAGTTTGTTTTAAACACAGCATTGTCATTCATCATTTCTGAAAATTTCATTTCAAATTACAGAGAGTGCTTTCTTCTTAAGCCTAAAATACCAGTTACCAGAGGTTAGCTCTGGCCTATTCCAGGGAGTAATTTGAATAATTTTTGGTAGGAAAAACAGGAGTTTCAAATACATACATCAGATGTTTCCTTCCATTGGTTCCCTTTGGAGCAAAGGCTTCAGAGTGGTTTCGGACTCCATCATGGGCCACAGCTACTCACTATGATTTTGTCACCTCACTCAAGCTGAAATGAGGAGGCATAACCCCTCTGGTGCTTTTGTAGTAATGAAGGCCACATTGGTGGAAGGGCAGGGAACAAACGCTAGTAGGTGTCTGCTGAAAGCTCTGTGCTGTTTGCTTAGGATATTTCATTTAACTCTCTCCGCCTCTTATGAGAGAGGTATCATGTTCCCCATTTAGCAAATCTTGGAAAAGTTATCGGGGGACAGAAGTAAACAGAATGACAAACCAAGCCTATCTCTTTACAAAGTCCAGCTCTCTGTAGTTCCACACCAAGGTCCTCAACCTTCCCCCTCATCACATGTGATAGTAACCAATGCCACTCTCTTCAGCTGGTTGACACTCTTTTCAATGGCCAAGGAGACAGCGGTGCTAAATGTGCTCACAAGAATGGATTTGTATAATTTTCACAATAAAATGTCATAAATAAATGAATTATAGTGACGCTCAGCAACATGAATCTTAGCAGTGTGATCTAAAATTATATATAATTGTATATATCAGGCTGCCTTGTAGATAAAGGTAAGCACATTAAGTAAATTCATATGGTTAGTTTATTTCCAAACTTCTAACATTTGTCCTGAGGAATATAGATTTATGGGTACTTATAGCTTCATTGAAGTAAATCTGTTAACTAAGTGTAGAGAAGTTGCCCACACACGGGCTAATTGTGACAGCATGTCATGTACCAAAGGTTATGATTAGTCTTTTTTTTTCTTTTGCAAATGCTTTCCAATAAAAGAGAAAACAAAGGGGAAACATGGCAATGCATTATTCACAGTTGTCCCAAAAAGAAACACTTAATCCTTGGAGAGGAAACCTCAAAATAACCTTACTAATTATAATGAGATGTCAGAAGATGAGGCATATGTTTCCAGTCCTGAGAAATGATCAGAATAATGGGGTTTGTGCGCTACCCAAGGCAAAGTTCACAAATATGTGGTTTCAGGGAGAGACTTAAGATTTAATAGAAGTCATCTGAGCTAGCAAGGGATGCTCCCTTATTAAAAAAAAAAAGGGGGGGGTTCACTGAATGGGTGGCAGCTCACATTTGAACTCTCCTAACCATGACTTACAACCATGGCTTATGTTAGACAGTCTTTGATTTTGGGGTCTAGATGACCATATGTTTAGGAAGTCACAGAGTAAGCATCAGGAAAAAATTACCAAAAACCCTGGGAAAGTTTAACCGTAAGAATAAAAGATAGAGCTGTCAAAGAAACAAATTTAAATGTATGATATTAATAATTTTGTGAACAGATAAAGATTAGATGTAATAGTGAGCTACATAATATTGAAAAAAATTTTTTTCCTTTAGAGGTGCTTGAAGGACGATTGCATGTTTAAGAGGAGGATTTTGTTAAATACATTTGTAATCAATACTAAGATGTTTAGTAATATTTAGATATTTATTAGACTTATAGTCAACAATTTGAGCATCACATTAGCATGAATGTTCTTCTCCATTCACAAACCTCCTTGAGCCTGAGGCCATCAGTGAGCAATGTGTCTGCTTGGGCCTGTGGAAGAGTTTATATTCACATAAGTCCAAGTGGGGGACATTTGACTTATGAAGCGGGGGGTAACCATGCTATCCTGTTTTCAAAGGACACAGTCACACAGTATTCAGAGCTGTACCACGACTTCACCACTACACAAGTGGGGATGCATGACGTAGTCCGCAGCTTCCGGCAGACCTTGGACAAATATAGCACAGAGCCTGGAAGATACAGGTAACAATAGGATGCACAAGTACAGTGCGTGATCTCTAGTTTATCCCCCCAACCAAGGAAGTCACTAAATTGTAATCTGATTTAGAAAGAACAATAGTGGATTGAGAGCCAAATGCATTTCTTTCTTTTTTTTAAACCATTTATTTTAAAGATTTTTATTTATTTATTTATACAAGAACTGGGGTACAGCCCAGAGGTGCGGGAGGGTGAGAGGATTCACCAGAGACAGAGTGGGGAACAGAACAGGCAGACAGACTGAAATACACTGCTGAGGGGAGCAGCGGGCAAGACAGGAGAAATCTGCCACGCCATGTGGGAATCTCCCTGGCTGGCCAGGAATTGAACCCACATTGAAGAGGCTGCAGACAGCTTCACAGTGCTGCGCTCAACCCGCTACGCTACCAGGGAGGCCCCAAATGCATTTCTAAACTCTTAGACTTGGCATAGTATAAGCCAAGTGTTTGGGCTTATTTCAGTGAGGTTGTCCAGGTGACCAGCATCTTGTCAAGCAGATATAAGCAACTACATAGCACTTTCTCAGTCTTCTGAGAGACCCTAAAGACATTGCACCTGCCAACTCTTACAGGTTCATGGGGACTGAAGCCTATGGAGAGAGCATTGACAAGACCATGATGTACTATGGGTTGCCTTTTATCCAAGAAGCAGATTTTCCCATCAACAGTTACCTCAGCATGGTCGACTCTCCTGGAAACAATGTGTCTAAAGTTATCACATCCTGGATGGAAAATATGCCAGAAGGAAAATGGCCTAATTGGATGGTAAGTCTTCATGACCAGCTCAGCTCATCTGGTTTTGGTGTGTTTGTTCAATAGTCATCTCTAAAAGGAGGGTTATGTCTGTCTCTAAGTGACCTTCACCTTTATTATATTTAGTGACTGTTCATTGAGTCAGGTTTGCCTCTGTTCCTGGCCAGGTTCTTGTCATTCTTCTTTTTTTTTAATAAGAACTTTTTTTTTTTTAGATTTATTTATATTTATTTATTTATTTATTTAGACAAGCACTGGGTACAGTCAGAAGCGCGGGAGGGTGAGAGAATTCACCAGAGCCAGAGCGGGGAGCAGAGCAGGCAGAAGGACCGAAGTACACTGCTGAGGGGAGCAGCGGGCGGCAGGAGAGGTCTGCGCGCCATGCGGGACCCTCCTCTGGTGGCCAGGGAGCAACTGGAGATCGAACTGGCGCTGCAGAGGCTGCGGGCAGCTTCGCAACCCGGTGCTCTACCACTGCGCCACCGGGGAGACCCTCTTGTCATTCTTCTTGTTCTCAGACTACCTAAATTCAATTGTTCTGTTTTCTCGTTTGTTGGTTCCTCTGTCAATTTTAATCTACAAAGTCCCTCTAGTGAATATTTCATTTCTTTTATTATATTTTACCAAGGATGAAATTTCTATTTGGTTCTTTTTAATAATTTCTTTATTGATTGTATCATTGCATGAGATATTCTCATATTTTAAACTCTTTAGATATAACATTTCTTTGAACACCTATATGTGTATATATGTACACACACACACACAGAGATGACTTTGTCCGTTAAGTCCAAAGATGCCTGGGTTTCCTTGGTCACATTTTCTATTGACTTGTTTATCTTCCCCAGTATGTGCGTATATATACTTACTGTTTCTTTAGATGTCATGTATTCTTTGTTATTATTAAAAACCGGTTATTTTAAAGTATACATGGGAATTTTGGAAGTTATATTCTCCCTTCTCCAGTGTTCATTGTTGTAGTTTCTTTAGTGACTTTATTGGATTAGTTCTATAAAATCTGTGCTCTTTACTGTGTGTGAGCCCTGAAGTCTCTGCTTACTCAGTTAATGATTTGAGATTTCGTAAATGCCTCGAACCTATAAATCTCCCATTCTTTGCTGAGGGCTTATGTGTGTGTGTGCACATGTTTTCAACACTCTGACAGATGGTTTACAACTCTGTTTTAGTCTCAATTTCTGTTTGCAGAGTCTCAAGGTTGATCAGAAGTGATACATCAGCCTCCTCAGGTCTTCCCGGGCTTCTGCACAGCCCTGTACATGGGCATCACCTTCCAGATGCCAGGAATATGTCAGAGCCCTTAATGTCCTTATGGTCATCTCATCCCTATCTCTTTACAAAAGTTTTGTGTTCAGGCCCAACTGCTAATAACCACCCTAGGCAGATGCATTGTTAAACAATTGCTGCTGATTGCTTCTGGAAAATGCCATGGGGGATAGTGCTATTTGCACAGAGTAAGCTGAGTCAGATCAGATAAAGAAAAAAAAAAAACACCCAAACCAGGCTGCTAGAAAGGTCAGTGACAGTTCTCTAGACATGGAGCTCTTGGTGAACTCTGTGTTCTGCTCATCCAGTTGCCACAAAACTGCTGTTTTTCACAACTACTGTATTTGTTAAGACTTGGGTTTAAAACTATTGTGGACCTGAGGAGAGAGGCATGAAATTAGGGCAAGTTAAAAATGATACAATATTTGCTTTTCTTGGTGAAATCTGGTTGTTTTTCTTGAAGAAATACTCCTCGGATTGTTACAAGTCTCTAATTTCCAGAGTTCTGAGAAACTTGGTTTTTACAATTTTTGCTTGCATTTTCCTCTTTCATGGTGATTTTTGAAGGTCCTTCTTCCACTATTTCAGAAGTGCCCTCCCTCATTTCACAAATTGTATAATGTAGTTTTGGTACTTGATTTTTCAAATACTTTGAATATCAGATTATCAGAGGCGATTGGGACCTCTCTTAGGCTGTGAGAGGCCCTCTCTGTCCTTGCTGTCAGTTACCTGTAGCAATATTTCTTGATTTCAGTTCTGAAAAAGAAAGTAACGGATGTACAGAAGGCATGAGGAATCTGAATTTTCTTGTCAGATGCTGTCAATACAATAACAAGAATAAATGGAGGCAAAATTTGACTTAATTTTCTGGCCATAAAAATACTGGCCCCCAAAAATACATGAAAAAAAAAAAAGGTCCTTGAAAAGACCACTATAGATTTAGTAAATTTAAAGAAAACAATTATCAACCTTCCCTTTATTGAGTTGTAACAACCAAATTCCCCTTCTCAGACACAAATTCAAAGAGTCATTCAGGCTTATACCCTGATTTGAAAAGATGATGTAGCTTTACAGAGATTGTTCCAACATTTATAAAATGGAGATAATAGATGAGTGCACAATAGAAGGGGGGGAAATAAGACAGATCATAGATGTGAAAGGACTTTTTAAACATGCTATGCTCAGCATATGCAGATAGCACTGAGTTGTAGCATATGGAGAGTAGATGATTTAAATAAATTCTCAAGGACTAGATGGTGTAATATGTACTAGAGCTTTTAACACAGATGTATCTAAAAATAGAAAATAGTTTACAAGATTTTCTTTTGGACCATGTAAATGTCTTTATAAATTTGATTTATCTTTTAAAATTTGAATAGTTCAAAGCAAGCACACAGGAAAGGGACACATCAAAAATGTTTCTCACCTCTGCCCCCTCCACCTTGTTCCCTTGTCCTGTTGTCGGTGGGAAACATTTGTTTCCTTTTCTGTCACTATTCTCTTAATCAAACATGTGAAAATATTGTGTAAGCTCATAAATTTTCTGTTATTTGTGGTATCATTATGAAGTAGATTGTGATCCTAATGGGCAGGACAGTAAATCTGTCAGTTGCACAGCAAGCAGCAGGGTTGGACTCAGGCCCAGGCTTATTGGTACCCAGGGCTGCCTTGCTTTTATGCCTGGTGTACCTTTTTTTTTTTTAAGATTTATTTTTATTTATTTATTTATACAAGCACTGGGTATAGTCAGAAGCACGGGAGGGTGAGAGAATTCACCAGAGCCAGAGCGGGGAGCAGAGCAGGCAGAAGGACCGAAGTACACTGCTGAGGGGAGCAGCGGGCGGCAGGAGAGGTCTGTGTGCCATGTGGGACCCTCCTCTGGTGGCCGGGGAGCAGCCGGGGATTGAACTGGTGCTGCAGAGGCTGCGGGCAGCCTCGCAACCCAGCGCTCAACCAATGCGCCACCGCGGGGCCCTGGTGTACCTTTTGTGAAGCAAAGTAAGTCTTCTAGAAAATCATGTGTAGAACTATATTCTTCAAGGTATCTTCCTTTCAGATTGGCGGACCAGACAGTACCCGGCTGACTTCTCGTTTGGGGAAAGACTATGTCAACATCATGAACATGCTTCTCTTCACACTCCCTGGAACTCCCATAACTTACTATGGGGAAGAAATAGGAATGGGAAATATCGAACCCATAAAGCTCAACGAAAGCTATGATGGTGTAAGTCAATGTAATTTAACCATGCACCATACCAAGTGCTCATTTTTGCCTTATCAGAGAATTTAATATTTCTATTCTGCTGCTGAAATGCATGATTATTTTGCTTTCCTTTCTGTTAGTAAGAATTCTTGGCCTTGCTTGGGGTGCTTGTTAGAAATGCTGCTTGCTGAGCCACACAACATATTTCCTTGCGTAGAGGCTAGGGACCTGCATTTTACATGTTTTACAGATGATTCTTAGGGATATGAAAACCTGAGATCCTACTTTTGAGTTTGAAATATTGTTCCTCATCCTCTACCTGAAACATGGAGTTAGGAACTTTACAGTGCTTGCCTGTACTGCTAGCTCACCCTTGGCTGTAGCAGATTCTTCTTTTATGTTAATAAATGTAACACAGTTTCAGACTTGGTTTTAGTTTGAGGCTATGGATCTCACAATTCCGTCACTGGGCAAAAGAAAGTTGTAGCACTTTTAACTAGTAAGGGTAATTTTCCATTGTGTAACATTTAATCTAACAACTGGTTAAAGCGAAACTGCCTGTTTTAGTTCCTAAATTTGTGTGTATACTCATGTGCAGTCACCAGGCTGGATGCAGGATAGACTAGGCTCACTTGAATGTGGCTGCCTATTTGAATTCAGCATCCCTGCATCATAGAATGAACTGCTAGAGGCACATTTTTATTTTTTTTTTAAAGATTTATTTATTTATTTATACATGCACTGGGTACAGTCAGAAGCGCGGGAGGGTGAGAGAATCCACCAGAGCCAGAGCGGGGAGCAGAGCAGGCAGAACGACCGAAGTACACTGCTGAGGGGAGCAGCGGGCGGCAGGAGAGGTCTGCGTGCCATGTGGGACCCTCCTCTGGTGGCCGGGGAGCAGCCGGGGATCGAACCGGCGCTGCAAGGCTGCGGGCAGCTTGGCAACCCCGCGCTCAACCGCTGCGCCACCAGGGAGGCCCAGAGGCACATTTTTAAAACCTACATTACTCATTTTTGTTGTTGTTTTCCAGTTCTTTTAGCCTTTTTATTACATTGTGGGGGGGTGCCCAGGATCTAACTGGTGCTGCAGAGGCCGTGGGCAGCTTCGCAACCCAGCGCTCAACCGCTGCGCCACCAGGGGAGGCCCTATTACATTGTGTTTTTATTGGGTAATATTGGTTTATAACACTTCATATGACTCAGGTACAGGTGCACACTTCTTCAGATGCACGTTGCTGTACCACACCCACTACCAAAGCACCCAGCGTCCTCTACCACAGTCCATTGGGCCTGCCCTGCTTTTTGTCCCTGGCCCCCAACCTTCCCCAATGGTAGCCTCAGTTTTACAGTCAGATTTCTAGGGTTTGTTTGGTTTAGTTTTGTCTGCTTCCATTACTCATTTCTAGGGGAAAGCAGCAAAGATTCCATATGTCAAAGTTCAATTATGATACAGTCTCTTCAAACTCAAGATGTCATTAACTTTCCCAGTTAAAAATGTTTAACTGGTTTATGTACTAAATGTTAACGCCTTTTTATTATGAATGTGAACGAATGCAAGTAGTGGCTAAGAAATATAGGGAACTAAATATTTATGAAGTAAGTCATAACCAAAGTACATTTTTTTTGTAATAACCAAACCATTGTTTTCTCCTTATGTCTTTTTGACATAGAATACACTTTTTTCAAAGTCACCGATGCAGTGGGACAACAGTTCAAATGCTGGCTTTTCTGAAGGCAATCACACCTGGTTACCCCCACTTCAGATTACCACACTGTGAATGTTGATGTAAGTATCCATGGCAACTTTATGCTGATTCCAGAAATAGGAAGTGAATCTCTGTGTGACAACATATACTTACCCAGAGTATATCTAAAACCTTAACTGATGCTGTTTGAATCAGTCACCTAGTCTTCTCCTGCAGTTTACCATTGTAGGGGGTTTGCAAGTCATGTTTTTGTGAAAACACAACTGATGTAGAAATGAAGTATTTCTGGAGTATCCCGAATATACAGCATTTCAATGAAATGACTTGAAGACCTTTGCGCTATGGAGGTTTTTTAAAACAAGTTCAACACTTCCTCCTCTCCTTCCTCAAAAGGAAGGAAGATGAATCCACCAATCTAGGGCAATGTGCACTTGAGAGCAAGACTGCTGACTTGAAGAAACAAGAATAATCCCTAAAAGTAGTCGTTTTGGAAAAGCACACCCTTTGGCATTTGCCTGTGTCATTTTCTGTCCTCAAGTTTGCCAATTTAAGCAAATGATCAAGTTTGATCAAGTTTGCCAATTTAAGCAAATAGATTTCCTAAACAGGAATGCATACGTTCTAGTAAAGTGGTAAGTACATTTCTTTAGACTAGAAAAATATGAACTGGCTTCAGGTGAGTAAAAGGAGATTTCACAATCAAGCACTAATGAAAATCTCACTGGAAAACACAATAAAAACAACTTTAGGGGAAGAGAAATTATTGGTTCCATGTGAGGGTATTTAGAACATTTATAGCATCTCTTTATCACGTTCTATTATTATTTTGAAAAGTCCCCATATCATTCTGATATCAAACTTCATGTAAGTTCTCCTGTTTCTACAACTCTCTACTGTAAGCCATGGGGAATTTCAGGATAATATAAGCTTTGTTTTATGTATTTGTAAGTTCCGAAAACCACACAAACTATATATATATATTTTTTAGCATTTGTATTCTAGATTAAGTGCATCTATTGGTTTTTATTATGTCTAAAATACTCTTATAGACCAATTTGAGTTCAATCTTTTAGAAAGGCTACTTAATATTGTATGCCAGCAAAGATGGAAAAGTGTAAATGCAAATGAAAACATTTTTTTCTATCATATTAGTCAGGTCTTTAAAAAGTGGTCATAAGTGAGGCTTGGAGGGATGCAGAGTCATAATCAAAAGTTTCAGGTGATGCCATTTTAATAAAATATAGTGATAAAAGCCCTAGAAACAGGTGAGAATTTTAGTAACTTCTAAAGGATTGAAAATAACATGAAGATTATAGAGAAAGAAGTACATAGACATTATTGTCTAAAATATACAGGAGAAAATGGCTTTAATAAATACAGGTATGAGCACTTGGGAATATTCCCAACCTACAGTCACTGGCTGTACCAGAATTTCCCTAAGTAAAAGAAAACAAATCAAGGGCTACTTGGTGCTCTGTTTGTGTTGGATGAATAAAGCAACACTTGAAATAGTGTCAAACTTCTACAAGCACAGCAGAAGTAAGAGAAGATCTAATTCTAGCGATGTGCTCTGGGTAATTCATGGCAGAATGTGCTCAGATATGACTTTTATTCCTTAGCTCACAAATAAAACACTTTTATTCCCTTTTGTATAGAAAAGGAGGCAGTATTCTAGGGAGCTTATCACTAATCAGTTGTAAAAGAAACCCTTCTACCCCAAAGAGCTACATCCAGATTAGCTTCTCACAGTTATTACAGGCTGGCAACCAAAGACAGGCAAACTGGGAGGACAAGATTGCCAAAGCAAACAGGCCACTAAGAGTCACACTACATTTGATAAAAAGTAAGACCAGGAACGAGAGATACCATTCCTAGCAGAACATTGTAGAAAGCACAGAAAATATGGCAAACGTAAGACCCCAATATTAGAATAAACACCCCCGTCTCCCATAGACTGCTGTGCTATGGAGCCCCTTGACATCCTTTAAAGTAATTAGGTATCTTATACCATGACATACACAGAAGATCTGATTGGTGTACTGGAAAACTGATCTTCGGGATTTGTCCTAGAATGCACTGTAAAAAGGCAAAGATGTTATCAGTGCAAGAGAAAAATTTTGATGTGCAGAAGACAGATCTAGAAACTAACACACAACAAAAAGGAATTCTAAAAGAGAACATAGACTGGAAACAAACAGATAAGCAAAGGAAACCCAGAGATAATGGATTCATCTTCTCTAGATTGGCAAGAATAAAGAGAAAACCCTAAAAATATATAGGAAGAAATCAAACTCAAAAATAGCATCAGATTTCTCAAATGGACACTAGAACATATCAGAACTTTTATCTTCAAAGTTATAATGGAAACTTAATGCTAAACCTCTAGAATCCTCTATCCATTCAAAGTAAGATTCAAACACAAAATAGAGATGGAAAAGCAAGGAAGCAAATTTTACCATGTATAGCCAATGTCTGAAAGAATAATTAGCAAAGGTAAACATGAATCTAAAAGGAATACATGTATAAAAAAAGTGAGAAAAGGAATCAACAAAACAGATTTTTTTCCACACATAATATAAAATAAGATTATCAAAATACACCATGACACACACTAAGTTCCAATTAGTATGTTCTGGAACAAAAATTTAGTCAATCATTTCTATATGGGATCTGTAGCAGGGAGAATGTGTGTGGAGAGCTGACAGGCCAAACACTTGTCTTACATGGGGAATGGAAGGACAGTAGCTTGCTCTAGAATTGAGCTATCCAGCTAATAACCACTTTGACCATTAAAATTAAATAGCATTAAAAATTAAGCTCCTGTGCCACACTATCAACATTTCAATTGCTCAAGAGTTAGTAGCTACCATATTAGTAAGTGTAGACACAGAACATTGCTAGCACTGCAGAAAGTTCTATTGGACAGTACTGCTCTCTATGTGAGAAAAATATATTTTAAATGACTATTACATTTTTAAGGGCAACCATTAGAAGAAGAGAGATAAACGCCTAATTTTCAAAGAATGCTGGAAAGAAAAAACTAGGAAGGAAACCAATCAATCCAATAAAAAGTTAAAAAGGAAGAAAACAAAATAAGTTTAAATAAATGATAAAATAAAGCTTTATGTCCAAACATAATAATCACAAATATAAATGGGTTAAATTCTCCTATTGAAAGATAAAACTCAGATTAGACAAAAAATTTGACATAAGACATATAGCAAAAATGAAAGGACACAAAGAATTAAAGATACCACAGGCAAATGCTAATAAAAAGAAAGCTTGCCATCTGTATAGCCATCAAAACATGCATATACCTTTTGACCTAGTAATTTTATTACCGTATTTATTACCGAATATCATTTTAGAAAATGATATTCAATTTCTACATACAGATGAGATAAATTTTTAGAAAACAAATGAATAAAGAATGAATATAAATGGAAAAAGAAAATTATATTCAAGGATCTCTATTGGAACATGGTTTTTAATAGAAGACTCTGGAAATGATTTAAATATTTTACCAAAAGCAAACCAGTTGAATCAATTATACTGTTAATCCATACAAGGCCCGGTAATGTGCAGCTTTTAAAAAGAATGAAGGCGTTCAGTGTGCACTGACAGGAGAACATCTCTAACATGTACTGAATTAGAAAATACGGCTACAAAATGAGGACATTTCCCTTCTGTATAGAAAAAAGGAAAGTATTGACTTGTTTGCTTAGTCACAGAGTGCATCACTTCCTGGGACACATAAAAATGAAAGAAAACAATCACAGTAACTATCTCTGAGAGGACTGGGAAAGTAGGGGATGGTGTAGGAGATATCCTTTCCATTTTACATATTCTTGTAGTGAATCTTATACTGTGTGCACACATACCCTATTTAAAAATTCTATTACAAAAAGAAGGTGTGGAAATATTTAATAGCAGACAAAATAGAATTCAATATGAAAAGCATTATGAGACGGGCAATTTTCAAAATTGGTAAAAGAACATTCCACCACAAATCATGAATCTATGCATCTATCATAGCTTCAAAATATATAAAACAAGTACTCTGAGAAATGCAAAGAGTAACTGACAAATCCACAATTACAGAGACACACCAACATACTTCTAGAAAGTGGTAAATCAAGTAGACAAAACTAATAGTTAACACTTATTGGGCACTTATATGTGTGGCACTGAACTATGTGCTTTTTTCATGCATTATCTAAGGCTACGGAAAATATTAATAGTAATTTGACAAGTCATACATATACCATATACATGTACCATAAATACCTTTGCACCTGATAAACAGAGAATAAACATTTTATCAAACATTCATTAGCTATTCACTAAAGACCACACATTAGCCATCTGCCCCAAGTGGACGACGACCACGACGACACAAGCACCACTGCAGTCAACACGGCTGGCTGGAGCACAAGGAGTGACCATTACCACTGATTTGGCAACAGCTCTTATGAAGAATTTGGCATTAACATCAAATGTCCATACTCTTTGACATAGTAATTCTCTTCCTAATCGCTTGTCCTAAATAAATAATCCAGACATGGGGCAGGGAGGGGCACTTAAAATATATAAAACATTAGAAACTTGAATGTTGAAATAAAAGGAAATGGTTAATTATAGTCTTACAATTTAATAGAATATTATTCTGCCATCAAAATGACATTTATGAAAATGACATAAAATAACAGTGGAAGATGCTTAAAATGTTAAAAGAAAAAAAACAGAAAAAATACATTGTTTTTATATAGCTGTACTATAAACCCAAATCTCTTTTAATGGGAGGTAAAGGAAAATACAATTTCTAACTTTCTCGTTAGGTAGAGTTTTGCTTTGCATCTTTTTTTGGTAACTTGTTCATTAGCTATGCAAGAATTACATGACTGCTGAAGTTACAGTAACCCATGCATTATTCTATGACAGAGAACAGAAAAGGCCCAACTCACCACTTTTTGGAGTCATTGCCAAGGTGGCTGCTTTTTGGCCAGTTACCATATAGCATAAAAGGACTTTATTTAAGTAAGTTAAATATCCAGTCACTTAGGTGGGGACATTTGTTTCGGGATTCCTAGAGTGGAGTCAGATGTGGTCTTCATACCGGCTCTGGCCAAAGGCAGCCTAGCAGCAAAGGCAGTGACTCCCAGATAAGGTGAAGGCCAGCCCTTGTCATTCCTATCAGCAGCTAGACTGTTCTTATCTACTTATTAGATAATTTACTTCCTAACAATCTGGTAATCATCTTAAGGGGTAAAACTGAAGTAAGTGTTTTTTCAAATAATTCTTTATTTGATACTAAAAATAATAAAAAATCTTTTAGACGCTAACATTTATGTTGATATTTTTTTTTCTTTAAATAGGTACAAAAGAGTCAGTCCACATCAGCACTGAATTTATATCAAGAATTGAGTTTGCTTCGTGCTAATGAGCTACTCCTTAACAGGGGCTGGTTTTGCTACTTGAGGAATGACTATGACTCTGTCATGTACACGAGAGAGTTCGATGGCATAGACACAGTCTTTCTTGTGGTTCTGAATTTTGGAGAATATTCACTGTTAAATCTAAAGGAAATTATTTCAAATATTCCCACGCAAGTGAAGATAAGATTAAGTACCAATCCTGACCACAAAGGCACTGTAGTTGAGACGCCTGCCGTCAAACTGAACAAGGGAGAGGGACTCATTCTTGAATACAAGACGAAGAACCCCCTTCATGGCCAAACGGCTTTCAGAGACAGATGTTTTGTTTCCAATTGGGCATGCTATTCCAGTGTGTTCAACATACTGTACAGCTCGTGTTAGGCACCTCTACAAAAAAGATGAAGACACTGGAGTCCTCTCCTATTACAGGCATTTGCAGTAACTTCATGTGTAACATGCTGCTGGGTAAACTTTATGAATAGTCATTCTTAGATGTTTCTGTAGCTTGAATGTAACTGCTTTAGGTAAGGTTCGGAAATGTTTTTACAAAGAATATTAAAATCTTCAACAGAAAATTATTACCTGGAAGAACTTGTAACTTTTTTGAGATAGCATCAATAAGAGATGAGCAGAATGCCTTAGGACCCAGGTTAGTTGGATGGATTTTAACGTGAAGAATGTTCTTTTTTCCATAAAATGCATAAAATGGAAGATCACTTATTTTGACACTTCAGTAAAAGTGTCAAAAATGTTTACTAGCCAAGAAGCAGGACTTTGATTTGTAAACTGTTCAAAAGAAATCTAAGTAAAACAGACAAAAACAATGGGGTAGGGGGCGAGTCAGCTGTCACCAATCCTTTTCCACATCCTCCTCACCCCCTACTCCACATCCTCCCAAGGAGCATGATTTGAAATGTTCAGGGACATATGCATCAAAGCAGAGAACAGTATAAGCAGGTGAGACCCACTCCACACAAACTCTAGATGGATGAATAGAGAAGCAGATTTAAAAAAATTATTTACCGACCTCAAAAAAAATCTCACTTTTGCTAACTCAACTGGACAAAAAACTGAAATATTTCGGTGTATTTCTAATTCCTCTTGAATGCAGCATTTCAGAATTTTAAATATTTCTTAAGATTCTCGAAAACACTGGTGCTGTCAAGTCCAAGTTCCTCATACAGGAATTTAATTTGGGCTGTAATCTAAAAGAAACATGTTAAAAAAAAATTTTAGACAGAAGGCCTTTGTGGTAAAAGCCCAATGTTTCTGTCTCTCTTTGCCTATCAATCTTAACTGTGAAGTCAGCCATTGTGGCAAGGGAACTTTTATTTGGGACAGGCAGAAGGTTCCCAAAAATTTTCAATTACTTTCTGTAACAAAGCTCAATTTTCAAGTACAGAGAGCCTTTTCTCTCAACTGACTCAGTGTTCCTCCCACCCCCGTTGGGTCTCAGCCTCAGACCTGCCGCTGGGAAATAGCTGTCATAAATCCTGTGCTGGGAAGTAGCTGTCATAAATCCTATCGCAACCACTGAAACATGGAGCGTGGAGCACTACACTTCTCTGCCTGGGGATCTGTTGCCTGAGAGAGGCTTGATACGTACCTTTTTGTGAGAATCCTCAATTACATGATTGCCTCCAGGCTGAACATCTAAAACAATATTGGGGGCCTGATAGCCTGAAAGAGTTAACATATGAAACCATCAGAAGGCTTTTGGCTAATTGAGACCCACTTCTCCCCTCTCCTTCCACTTTGTTAAAATATAGGCAAAAACCACCGCCACCATCAAAGAGAGTGCCTGGGGCAAGCAGTAGAAGATAAATTTCTGAGATAGGGAAAGCAGGAGGAGGGCCAGAAATAAGGAAGTTGCATGGAAGTCTGTAGGGCCAAGCGAAAAAGGTGGTGACATACCAGGGAGCCATTTGGGCCTGTGGAACCCGGTAGTCTTGTGACCTGGAAACACTAACTACAGCGCTGGGTGAGAATGAGACAAGGAACTGATTACAAAGCTTGGATGTGGGTCCCTCCCACCCATGAGCCCAGAAGGCCTTGGCATGTCAGGGCGAGGAAAAAAGGTAAGAGTTCTTGGCTAATGAAACTGAAAGATCTTGAGAAAATTAAATCAGATAATTTGGGCACTGAAGTTCCAGAACAAAAACATCAAAATCTGTTAGAGAGTCCCAAGAATAATGGCTTGATTAATATTGCTAAATAAATGAATGATTGTATCATAATACATCTCCAAGGCATATTTGATTTTTCAATTTACTTTTTCTGTCTGGCCTACCTTATTTTTTATTATTTTTTTTTAAGATTATTTATTTTTACATAGCAGAGCAGGGGGTACATGCCAGAGGTGCAGGGCTGAGGCTTCACCTGTGAAAGTGGGGAGCAGAACAGGTGGATCTACTGAAATACACTGCTGAGGGGAGTGGTGGGCAAGACAAGAGAGGTCTGCTGCACCATGTGGGTTAGCTCCCTGGTTGGGGATCGATTTTAGGCTATAGTGGTTCTAGCACTGAGACTTAACCCCTAGGCCACCAGGAAGGTCCCCTGGCCTACCTTATCTTAATATTGTCTTTTTTTTTAAAATGGAGGTAACATTGGTTTACAACACAGTATATAATTCAGAGGTTTAGGATAATACTCTCATTTAAGAGAGGTGAGGAAGCTATAATTATTATACATCCTTCAAGTGGGCTGTCAACATGGGTGAAAAAAACAATTGCCCTAAATTACAGGCATGTGGTTGGTCGGAAGCATAAAATGTTACACTGAGCTGTATGCTGAAGGTACTAGTCCACTTAGCTAATTCCCTGCTTCTAGATGGTTTTATACCTTCACCAGCATCCTTAGCATGTTCCGCGACGGCTTCCTTGAGTTTGTCAGTATAGTTCACAATTCCTTTTAGAGGTACACGTTCATCATTTTCATAAGCTGTGATGTGAATCGAAGGATAATGCTGTAAGACAACAGATATACAAAGAATTTATATTATTCCTTATTGTCACTTTCCGCCTTACAGGTGACAAAAAACAACTGCCTGACATTTTTTCTGCTAGGTGCTAGATGTTTTTTCTCATTTGATATTCTTGAGAGAGCTATAGCATCAGAGTACTAGACTGCTTACTACCTGAAATACTCTTTTTTTGACTAGAGAGACCATGGCCTTATAAGGGCCTACCATGGTGAGCCACTAAAATGAAACGCAAAAGGAGTATGAGGAGAGGTGGTGCTTAAAGGCATTTGGGTTTTCTAAGCAGAAACAATCTAAAGTACTACTAAATCCAGGTAAGTATCATTCTGATTATCTTTTCTATCACTTGACAATAATACAGCAAAACAGATTTTCACTACCTGAGGTTTAATATTTTGATAGGGACAGTAACGTTTTATGTAGTTCTTGTGTTTTTCATCAGAAGAAGGATTCCCCCATTCTTCTAATTCTTCTACTGTCAGAGGCAGTGTAGTATCCATCATGGTGTTGAGGACATCCAAGAAAGGTGCCTAAAACAAAAAAGTCAAACTTAAACTTTGAAGCAAAAGTTGGTAAAATGAGTTTCAGGAAAATATACTTTATGAGTACACATGCTCACAAGAGAGAACAAAGTCAGGAAGCCATGTGAATTCCTGGTAACAGGGGCCTGTGATTTATAGCTTGCTTTTAAGGTATGTCAGACTCCTTAAATGACATTTATATAAAAAGAAAGGGTTGGGCTTCTGATTTCCCAATTTTTTTATTTTTAGTTTGCTGTCCTTTATTTACACATATGAATACATATGTGTGTAAATACATAATATGAAAGTAGTTCATGCCACCACTTCACACCCTTTAGTATGGCTACTATAAGAAAAAAAAATCAAGTGTTGACAAGGATGTGGAGAAACTGGAACTGCAGTGCACTGTTGGTAGGAGTGTAAAATGGTGTACACGGTGTGCAGGTTTCTCAAAAATATTAAACTTAGAATCACCATATGATTTAACTATTCTATCCCTAGGTATATGCCCAGAAATTAAAAGCGGGGTTTTAAAAACTATACCCACATTTATAGCAGCAATATTCACAATAGCCAAAAGTGAAAGCAACCCACGTGTATCAATGGATGAATAGATAAGCAAAATATCACAGTGATACAATGGACTATTCATCTTCAAAAGGAAATTCTGACACATGCTAAAACACAGATTGACCTGTGTACCTGTGTCCTGTAGCTAATACGACTGCCCATTTTGAACTAAATGCTTCAAAATAGATAAGATGGCAGATTTCATGTTACTTAGTAAAACTTTTAAAAACTCAACAAATTCTTCATCAGTTGGACATTATACATTTAAAAAATGTAACAAAAAATGCTAATTGAAGAAAACACCTGGAAAATATCTCTAGATAAAAGAAGAGAAAATCATTCATCAGCATATAACCAGCATTAAGTATTTAATAAAATGACAGCTGCTTTTTTCACTTGGCCTTATAGCTTTTTGTTAACATGCTGTTCAGCTTTCTTTCTCTTACATTGACATTAACCAAGTATAATGTAATTCTTTTTGGCTGCCTAGCAGCTGAACTCGTTTTCTGCATCAGAGTATCCCTAACCTTATGAGACTGAGCCTGCTTCTCACTGTAGAGCTGCCAAATGCCAGGGCCCCTTCCCTAGTCATCCCTGCAGCACCGGTGCAGCCACGTGATTTCGGTCTACCAACCAGACAAACTGTGCTCCAAACTCTGAATGGGAAGTTAGGGATTCAAATAATGAGGAACCACAAGAGCGCCACAGTTATGTCTAGTTTCTAGAAGCCGGACTTGCAGTGTGAGGCAACAGGTGCCCAACAGTGGTGGTAGTGATGGTTTCCCTGGGCCAGCTTCATGCTACATTTTGAACATGTTTTTGGCTGGTTTTAAACCCTCACTCACCCAAAACCTTGCAGGAAATCCCCTTACTACCTAGAGCTGGTTTTTTTTTTTTTTTGTGCTTCTAGTTAAGAACTTTGACAGATGAATCCTCTATTGTTAGATATTTAGGTTGACTTCAACTCATTACTATTATAAACAACATAGGATAAATACCCTTAAATATACATTTCTGATTATTTCCAGATTTCTAAAAGTCAAGTTAGTTGAATTTTTTCATATTATAAAGATTCTGTCATTATCAATCTTTGTGAATAGTTTCCCTCCACCCTCACCCATACTTAGTATTCCTATTCAAAAAACAGATCTACAGGCCTCCCCAGTGGCGCAGCGGTTGAGCGCTGGGTTGCAAAGCTGCCCGCAGCCTCTGCAGCGCTGGTTCGATCCCCGGCTGCTCCCCGGCCACCGGAGGAGGGTCCCACATGGCGTGCAGACCTCTCCTGCCGCCTGCTGCTCCCCTCAGCAGTGTACTTCGGTCCTTCTGCCTGCTCTGCTCCCTGCTCTGACTCTTGTGAATTCTCTCACCCTCCCGCGCTTCTGACTGTACCCAGTGCTTGTATAAATAAATAAATCTTAAAACAAAAACAAACAAACAAACAAAAAAAACCCCCCAAAACAGATCTACAGATCAGGATTACTGAACACTTGTTTACTTATTACAAGTCAACAAAATATATCCTCCAGCATCAAAATAAAAACCTAAAAATAATTTCCTCTATCTTAGTCATTACTTTTTTTTTTGTGGGACCCTCGCCGGCGGCCAGGGAACGAACGGGCGCTGCAGAGGTTGTGGGCAGTCTCACAGCCCAGCACTCAACCACTGTGCCACCCGGGAGGCCCCTTAGTCATTACGTTTTTGAGTATTTCACCAGGAAGCATGAGAATGCTGGAGGTATAATATGCTACGATACAACTTCGTAATTCAGAACAGGGCAAGATATGTTAATTAAAGTACAGAAAAACTATTTCTAAAGAACATTAAGAATGGAGTATCTAAAATAGAGAGCCCTTAAATCCAGGACTGAAATGTTGATGGGGAGTAAAGGATTTCATTCATTCTAGAATCACTGCCTGACTGCCCACAACCAGTGAGTCAAATATGCTTTTCGCTCTTTTCCACAAATTCAAAAAATTCTTTTTTTTTTTTTGGTGGGACCCTCGCCGGTGGCTGGGGATCGAACTGGCGCTGCAGAGGCTGCAGGCAGCCTCGCAACCCAGCACTCAACCGCTGCGCCACCAGGGTTATAAGTAAAAAGGGATCAATGGGAATAGCCATTGATGTCCTTTATTGGAAATCCATAAAATTAATAAAGAACATTGTCAGGGAAGAATAAGTAAATGGCCAGTAGTAACTTCCAAGTAACTTTAGAAGTCCTTGCAGAGCTATAATTCTGTGTTTAAAATTTAAGTTTTGTTACATTCCTGTGCTATGGTACAACTGCAGTGGAGATTTTTTCTTCTTTAGAGCAGCCTATGGCTTTATACTTCCCCATTCTGTAAACAATAAAAAGAGAATACTCACCTCCAAAGTCACAGCTCTCAGGAGCTCTGGATTAGAATTACACAATGCTCCCACAAGCACCCCTCCAGCACTGAAAGCAGTCAGGGTGGTTAGACTTGGCTGAGAAAAGCCTTGGCCATGAAGCGTCTTAATGCAAGCCTCTAAGTCAGCAAGGCCATTGAGTTTTTTAGTTAGACGGCCATCAGCGTGCCACTGGAGGCCTAACTCACCACCACCCCTGAAATTAAAGGGCAAAAAAATTTTAGTGGGAAGAAAAGTATTAATGATACAGTTCAGGGTCAGTAAACAGTCTACAGGCCTGTTTTTATATGTACCTGAAGCTGAAAACAGTTTTAACATTTTTAAACCGTGGGAGGAAGAAAATTAACCAATCAGAAACATGCAACTGAGACCACATGTGGCCTGTAAAGCCGAAAATGTTTACTGTTTAATTCTGAGGAGAGAAAGTTTGTCATCTCTTGATAGAGATGAATAAAAATTGATTCAACAACTATGTTTTGAATGCCTGCTTACTATTTGCCAGGCATTGTGCTTGGTTATAAAAGTATAATCAATTAATTCTGTGAAAGAAAACAGCCACCAAGCAATGTGGTTGCTGCCATAATCCAAGTGTTTTTAAGGCATTGCAGAAGCAGAGGAAAGAACATCCACCTGCCAGGTGAAGGATATATGAGTAAGGAACACATATGATACCCAAGTTGAGTCCCGAAGGAATAACATGTGTTTCTAGAAGGGCAAAGAAAAGGAAGGCACCGAGACACAGCATGTACAAGGGCACAGAGGGGAGAGCATGGCCTCTGGGGGGAATAGAGCAAGGCTGGATGTGGAGCGTGTGTGGCTGCAGAGCGACATGTATTTGGGGAGTGATGGCAACAGATCTCACTCTTGCATAGATTAGCCAGATGACTAAGCTGCTAACTACTATACAGAGGAATCTGGGTTTTATAATGAAGATGGCAAGGGTGGGGGGAGGGTGTAAAGAATTTTAAGCAGAAATATATGTGTCTTGAGAACAGCTAAAATAAGGGAACTTAGGGCAGAAAAAAGCAGTTTAAGAGGTTATTTTAGAAAAATATCAACTCAGAATAATTAAATGGAAATAATGGTGTTAAGTACAAAGGCTGGTATATATCTATTCTAAAAATCCTAAAAATCTGGCACAAAATCCTAAAAATCTACGCTCTTGCTTTTTGGATGAACCAATCTGTTATTGAACCAGCCCACAATAAGAGGTAGGTTTAGGAATACATACATTCAAGAAAAAAAAGAAGAAAATAAACGTTTGCTCCCTGATTTACTGTTATTCTGGTCCTCTGTAAGTGCCTTAGCACTCAGATACCAGGTAAACTGTGCTGACTCACCGAACATGGCAATATGCCAGGATCCATCCATCGTCCACCAATACCCGCCTTTCAGGCCTGAAATTCATTTTCAAATCCATTCCATAAGCTCCATATACGTGTACCAGGAGAGGCTTCTTTTGCAAGTCCTCAGAATCCGTTTTGTGGAAAATGGTCATTGGCACTGATTTTCCATCCTGGAAATGAATTATTACAATGCTTGTAAATAAGAGCCTTGAAAAAACCAGTATTATCCCCAATTTTATGCACTGCATATTGACATTGAACACAAACTTCACAAAGATGAAAAGAATTAAGGCCTCTAAAGATACATCATGGTCCTTATTGTCAGCTACTTTGCTCACCTATAATATTGAGTAGAAAAGAGGAGCAGGATTCTGACTTGAAAACAATTTATTAAATACAGTTTTTTCTGAGGGTAAAATGGATTTTAACAAGTTCTACACTACTCACTACTGCAACTTTTTTCTTTTAGGACAAGCCAAAATATACCTGTCC